CCACTTCCGCTTCCCATCTTCTTATAAGAAAATGGTGGTAAAGAGAAAGGGAGTTAAATTAGGCCTCCGGCACCACACTCATCAGACTGTACACGGAATTGCTCCCATTTGACGGCTGTCTTCTGTGTGGTCGTGGTATTACTGGGGGTGTGCCGGACCTGCACTGCTAACATGTTAAAGTGGGCACTACCATGTGAAATCTTAAAAAAGGCTTATTGTATCTACATGAAATTTGGCACGAATATATAACACAGTCTGGAAAAATATATAACCTACTTACTAAGTTATTTTCTAATTATAGATGGAGTGGTAAATGCTGATTTAAAAATAAAATCCATGTAAAATAAATACTAACATGGTATTGGTGTGACATATTTTTCAGGATCAGTTGCTATAAGTCTCCTACGGAGTTCATTCCTGCCGACCCCTGGAGCTCCAACAAGCACTATAGGTCTTACCATTCCTGGTCGCGGATACAAACGGGCTACCTCTTCATACGTTGGTATTATTTCTCGATCAAAATCATCATTTTCCTTAATATCATAGATTATTTTCTTAACTTTTGGAGTAGATTTACATGGCAATAAGGCAGTGGCGGTAGGATTAGGCGAGCAAGGCGTTTTGGGCCCACAATCTGAACTTGCTGTGGTCGGGCTGCACAAGGCAGGGTTGCCTGCACATAAAATTAAAAATATTTCTATCTATTCTATTAAAAAAGGATAGTCTCATAAAAGCTTACTAACCATCCATTGTCTGAGGATCTGTTTGTCTCTCATGAATAATGCGTCCTTCTTGTAATGCTCGTGAAGGAATCAAACCAGCCCTCATCACTCTATCACCTTCCCGGCGAGCTTGCCACCTTAACAGCATGAAATTGAATAAATATGTTTATTGTCCCATGAAATAAATTTAACTAAACTCACCAGTAAGCATCATCCTGTGACACAATATGTAAAATATCACCCTTTTTGAAATCTAATCCTGCTTCTTTACATGGTATGTATGGATCATCTGATGAATTATAATTAAATAGAGCTCTGACCCGTACTTTACTCTCCCTGGAACCTCCTTTACCAAATGAAGGTACCAATTTAAATGTTATTGTTCCTTCTGAATTTTGCTACAAAAAAAAATAATTGTAACATTATTGAATTAGATGTTTTTATCTATAAACATAATTTACATACCAAAATTGCCAGAACATCAGATGGAGTTTTATTTTCCACACTAATACCATTGACCTCTATAACTTCGTCACCAGCATGGATTAAACCAGACCGATCAGCTGCTCCCCCATGCATTACTCGGGCAATAACAATCTTTCCCGTTTCTTCATCGGTCTTGATAGTTGCCCCCTAAGAATTATTAAAATAATTACATTCACCTCATTGACTTAGAAAGAACTATTACAATTTACTAAAATAAAAGAGCTCACTAATCTTAGGAATATGGAATGATTCATAAAATGCCATAAATATAAAAGGTTTTAACTATGTTCTAATAACTGTTTTTTAACACTCAATGATTTAAATAGCATTTTGCTACATATGCCGTACATTATCATTAACAAAAAAAAGATGCAACTGCAATATAACAAAAAATGTTTGCTATTTTTTTGAGTTATAAGCAATGTGTATTGTGTGGGGATTTGTGATATTTGGCTGCAAAAAATTAAAAAGGATACAATGAAAAACCACAAAAAAAATCACAATACATATTGCAGTACCATCTAGAGATAGCAGCTAATAAGTTTAAATCAGTTAGGCTGGGATTTAAATAAGGGAGCATATTTAACAATGATGTGATATAAAAAAATTAAATAAGTAAAAAATAAACAAATATAAAATATATAACACAAGCATTTATATAATAGCCAGTTATAAATATGCATTCGAGAAACTTACCACAATTGGCTCTGCACTCTGAGCTCCACCCTTTTAATAAAAAATGTTTAAATAACCCCTATTGCTTATCATTATTTAAATAAATAAATACATGAAATTTTCAACTATCATGAATATCTATACAAAACTTTTGTTATACTAAAATAGAAAATATCAATTAATATTTATAAGTTGTTATATATCAATCATTATAATACAAATATATTACATATTTTTCCTGATAAAATAAAACAATAGCTGCTATTTCTAAATGAAACATTGTTTCAATTACAAACTGACACTTTACAACTACTAAGTGACATTAGATTGAAGAAAGAATTATACGAACCAAGGGTTCATCGCTTTTAACAAGTTGTACAATTTTGACAGTCTCCTCTTCATCATCAGCATCAGATGGTACATCAGGAAGGTGCGGGTAATAATCTTTTTGAGCAACAGCATCATGAGTACAGAGTATAGCCTGATTAATAACAAATTCATCATTAACAAATTTTATAGTAATTTAATTTATAAACTTTTCATACTTCCATAAGTAGTTATTATACTAATATTGTAAATAAAGCTTTTTATTAATAAAAACATTAGTAGATTTTTGTGAATTTACTAATATTTCCTATAACCATTCCGACTAAGCTTTAGGATATGGTTTACAATAATTGAATGAATTACAATAATTGTTAACTGTAATGAAGTACATATCCCTGAAGGGCCTGAAACTATTTGATACCAACTCCCGACTATGTGTGAGTACTGCCATTTTAAAATTAACCTAATTTAAAATTTAACAATTTAATTTTCTACAAACCTGAAAATGTGGTTTTTGTAAGAGGCTTAATAATTCCTCATATTCTTTAGATACAGAAATAACATCAGCTAGCATTTGAAATACTTCAAGAGTGACTTGCATAGCATTTGAGAGCAGCGGATAAAATTTATCATCTTTACCATTTGCAACAATTTTATTATGAGCTTGTACCAAAGCATGGAGCTGCTTTGACTGCAAAAGTTCACTTAAGAAAGCTACATCTTCTCCATCAGATTGTACCTCTTTCAAGGAAGTCAACAATTTTGTAAGAGCTAAAAAAAAGATACATATTTTTCATAACATTATAAAGAAATAAAGTGCTTCAAATGTTAGAATAGTATACCTGGATCCCAATTTTCTGTGGAACTATCCATTTTCATATCTCCTTCAATGATCTTCAGATATCACAGAGACATGGTCAATTACAGAAAACATAGCAGGGTTAAATGAAAGTGTTTATGAGTGGTATATTTAAACCCTTGCCAGTTGAAAAACAGTTTTAACCATGTCTCCGATTGTTTGCTAGTTTTATCTAAATACATTAAAAAAAATAATGTGATTATAAATTTTATATAAATTGCATTGCACAAACTTAACCATTAACATAATGTTATATTATAGTTACATAGCTTACTCATTCTCTTGCCCTCGTCGAAGCTTTAATTACATACAAGTAACAGTGACTGTTTTCTGAAAACTTTTGTAAACACAGTAACTAAATTTAGACTTCAAACTAAAAACAATTACGTTACACAGAGTTATAGTATTACATATGATATTTCGAAAATATAATTTAGGTACAAATATTGATGTTAAAAGTTAAGAACCCGATAACGTAACACATAATTACTCTTCATAAGTACTTACCTTTCAACATATCACAAATAATGAATAAAGAATTTAGCTATTTAAGTAGGAAACTGAACAAAAGACAAAGAGTCAAGATAGAGTTCAATTTATAAAACTCGAAAGTTTAATTTCAATTCATTGCGTTTCTAATAGGACAAGTGAAGTGAAAACGAAAATCACCGGGAAAAATCAATACCACATACTAAAATCCGTTTCATTTTACGTGCCTTCGTGATAAAAACTCAACAAAATGCACAGATAATTGTGTTACTCATTTTAAAATATCAGTCTCGATTATTTTATTTCTTTAATTTGGGTTAACTATATCATACAATCAAATATTAAAATAATGCTTGAGTATTACTTTCCAATGGCAGCATTGTTGAGAATTAATGCTACAAGTGGTACAGCGGTCAACACCGGCAAAATTCATATAATGGCGGAGGTTGTGGTCGTGTGTATTAAATGAGCGATAAATTTCGCCAACTAATTTTCCGAAAAACAGAAAAATCCTGAGATCTTTACCTTTAATTTATTAGTTTTATGTGGACAATAATGATTTGTGCTTATAGTTTCTTAGTACTGTATTAACTTTATGGGAGTTTGTATACATCGATTTGTTACTGGACTTATTAAATTAGTGCGGTGGAGTCGAGAGCAGAGAGTGGAGCTGTGTGGAGCCGGTGCCACGGGTCCTTAGGGTGGCGGAATCACAATGGGAGCGCAGCAGGCGAAGGAGCGTGGCACGGCCATAGGCGCGTCCATGCGCTCGGCCCGCAGCAGACCGCGGCCACCTAGAGACCCCCGCATCCTGGGCTCGAACATATTTACAGAACACAGCGGTGAGTCATCTTTGTCATAAAAAAGCAAACCGTACTTCATTTTAAATTTCCTTCTTTTGTTAGTTTTTTCAAACTTCCTTATTTTAATTAATACAAAGTTCAATTTGAAATTACTTTATATTAACAGACAAGTATACAGTTTAGTTCTCTTATACCTTATTTTTTTTTCACAAAATAACTAGGCTCAAATAAGATTCATGGATGTGACTGATAAAGTGCATATAAGCAAACTTTTTAAGTTAGAAGCAGACTCTTTTTCTAACTATAAACAATAAACTAATTGTATATATGGGTATTATGCTAGAGAGAATTAGTAAATAAAAAAACAGTTTAGTACAGAAAATTGGCTGGTTTCTTCTTGAATTAAATCTCAACTTATAAATGACTTCCTGACCGATGCCAATTACTCATTATCACTGAAATGACAAATTATAGCAAACAATACCTTTTGTTTTAAGTCAACTGGAAATCAAATGGAAGAGAATATTATTTTTTAATTTATTCATCAATTAGCGCCATGTATGTAGACAAACATTAGAAAAAGGATAGAACACATAGTTACAAAACATCAGTTTAATAAAAAGCTATTTATGTGAAAATTTTCAGATAGTACCAAATATATCTTTCTTGACTACTGTTTAATATTTCATAAGTTATAGAAAAACATTAAGATGTGTTTCTTCACTCCATGCTCTCCTCGCTAATTTTATTTCACTACCTCCTAATAGAAGATAGAGGAGATAAAGAAACAAATAAGTGAAATAGTTTTATTTTCCTACCCATTTTAAATTATGTTCACCATCCAAATTTTTACCTCATGAGGGAGATACGGAAAATAATAATTAGGTATCTGGAAAGTGCCCATTTTGTAGAAATTATATTTTTAATGCCAATCAAAAACTTTATATTTTAGCTACTGCAAATTTTATGCGGTTTGCATTATGAGTTATACACTGTGGTAGCATTTGACTAACAAAATACATAGAAAAGACATAGGAATTATGATATAATATTAAGGACAAAGGATAATCATTCCAATTACAACTACAAAATAGTATTGTTTTTCTTTGTTTTTTCTGAATTCATGCAATTTCTAAAAATAAAGCTGAACATTTAGATGAACATCTTTTGGTTTATCTAATTTAAAATAATTGCAAATACATTTGTATCTTTGAATATACTGTGAAGTTAAAATGAAACACTCGCAATGCAAACACTTGGATCAAGAAATGTCTGTTGTAAAGTAACGTAAATCGATTAAAACTATTATTTAATATGTACAAACAAATAAAAAAGATTTACACAGTTACTGTTAGTTTAATCAAATTATACCAAATGATATCCATGAAGCTATAGTAATTTGCATCAAGTTGAAAATTGGTAGGAACATTCGGAACACCATTTTAATTATAACCTGCAATGTTCACATGATCCAATAATCGGAAAATATGTTCTTGGTATGCCTTGGCTTCAAGGCTCACATAATTTTCTTTTAGTGGAGCAGTTTTAAAAATTATCTAAGTCAAAGTTATATCATAAAAAACCTAAAAATACTTTTTTCTACTTGTTCTAAGATACCTTTCGAACAATTCGTATAGTTCAGGAACTTATCCTTTCGACTAGACAATGATCGCAATTTCGTCCATGTGAAAGATGTACATTATTATGTACATATGTAACCTATTTTGACATTGTTTTTAATAACATTCATTAGTGGTGGCAACAGGAGAGCGTAGTTTACCTCCTAGGACCCCATTGTTTGCTTTGCGTATTTTACTTGCAAATAATCAAGTTTATAAAAATATCAACTTACTACAGGTTTCCACTGTACAATGTGACACTAATACAATAATATCATATTGCCTTATAATATTCCTATATAGCCTTTTTGAAAAATCTAAGATTCCAAATTGATTTGTACGGTTTGTACACAGTAGAAACCCTAAGTAATGATGATACAGGGACAGGACCAATATCGAATTTAAAAAAGTATATGCTTTCTTACTTCACAAAACTGAATTCGTTTCCCGCGCTAAAAAACATCGCTTCTCCACTGTGCTGAATCTGAGCAACTGTAGCAGAATTTCTTAATGGTTCAGAAAAGTTTTTTCTCCAAGAATGCTGAGCGTAATTTAAGGCGATTAAAGTGTATGACGGAGAATGGTTGCGCTTTTAAATTTTACACAAACTTAGTTCAAACTCTGAATAGTTTCCAACGCTAATTTCACTACTGAGATTTTTAATAGTTTTTGAGTTTTAGTACAAATATATAACGATCTCCGTACATTTTAATACAAGTTTAAAACGCCCAATAAATCATTTTTTTATCATCCTATTTGTTAGTAGGAGGCTTTGTTTGATGCTTTCATCCATGATATTTAAAAAATCGTTGAATTTCTTGAAAATTGCCGAAAAATTGATCGTTTACTCGGCGTTTAACGTTTTTATAATTAAGATTTGCTAAGGCGAAGTTATATGTGAGAAGTCAACCAACTCGCGCTGGGCCAGCGTGATTGAATGTGGCCTAGTCATCCCTAGCCGAGTTCCTCAGTGGGGGCGTCTAGTGAGCTGATAATGAAGGCGAAGTTTTTGTGCAAAGTGTAGGAACTTGATGAACGCGATGTGCGGTCGCGCGCATACTGTAGAGGGCCTATGACTAGCAGTAGACTGACACGGGCTAGTGTTGATAATGATGAAACCTAAGTTTTCGATTACATGTAATGGAATCTTACAATTAGTTTAAGGAGGGAACGGGGATTAATATTATTGTAATAATTATCATCTGCCAATAAGACAACAAAGATTCTAGTTGTGCCTTCTGGGTTTATACAGTTTTTATCTCAATTTCATGTATTGTTTTCATTAGTTTTGAGGCGAAATAGGTTAACCTAATAAATTAACTATTTCGTTTATATGATAACGAATACTAAGAGGTCCTTAATTCGTTCAGGATTTTAAGCGTTTCTGGTTACAACCTTGCGACCGACGTGAATAACTAAATATCATGACGTATCGTAGACTATGAGTCTACCCAAAACATATGCATATTATGTTATAGGACAATGAAGTTTTGCTTGGGACTTTCCCATCATTGTGCTTTGTAATTGGATTAGAAAAAATATTTTTGTAAGTCATTAACATTAGGAATAGTGTTTTGTTACTATTACATATATTTTGGGACCTTTCATCAACATGGGTATAATTTCTTGCTTTGTATGAAAACGTTGGATTAAATTTATAAAAGCTATTAAAATTAGTGTAATAATGCTTTGCGCTCTTTTTGTACTATGCTCGGCTAATGCCAAGTTTTACCGGTGCTATATTTTATTTAGAAGTTTTATCAGTACTTTACTGGTGTTGCATCCAGTTCAAGATGACCTATTATTATTACTTCTTGATCTATTACTCTCAATTCAAGTTCAAAGATCTTTTTTGTGTTGCGTTTTTTCTAAGTTATAATACTGTTGCGAATGTTTATTAATGAAGGTGTTCGTTAAATTATCACTACGTTTGTTTTTTTACCCTCAAAAAAGGTAACACATCGTAAAGCCGTTATAAGACTTTTGATCTGATGGTCGTCCTAGACATAAACTCAATAAGCAAAAGTCCATTATACATTTGCCCTAAGCGGCGACCGGAAGCGCATGGGCAGTCGCGCCTCAAATTACCACACAATCACATTCCATTTAGAGTAACCTGGCGTTGTGTCCCATCCGTAAGTTGCATTTAACGCATCACTAAAAGTAAAGCTAGCTTAACTTTGACCTATATTTGTTTTTAATAGTGCTTTCAATGTTGACAAAGATGAGAAAGTATAATGTAATTGCTGAAATTGAATCAGAGAATCAGCCTAGCGAAAGTTTAACAGCGAAAGTGTTAGAACCGGCTTCGCGTTATATCTTATGATGGAATATGTAATACATGTTATGTATGTGGCTAAATGAGATTGTCATTTATTTCGCACTTCGCCAAACACATTGAGACACCTGTAAATCTTTAAAAAATTAGGGATGCTTTTACGTTGTATCTGTAAAAAGAAACCTAAATGAATAAAACCTCCAACAAACAAATATAGAAATAAAGTAATATAAAATATAACAGGTTTTTATTAGTTTGACTATTTATAATGCAAACAGTATTTATCTATGTTAGTGAAACTTAATAAGTAAAAGATGAAGCGTTCTTAGCTTCATTATTTTATTGCTTTATTATTTTATTAAAAGTATTATGTAATAAGATTGCTGAGGGGCTTAAGAAGCTAGAAGTACCTACACAATTGTCGTCTGTATGTTATAATCAACGTTGCACGTGTGATATAAACACTCGGAGAACATTGTATGCAAGGACAGAAGGCGACCGACTTGATACTTCGAAGTAATTGTTCATGTCGAGCGCTATAATGTTGTGACGGCAGAAAAAAGTTTTGTCGTCGAGTAACTGAAAATAATTCTGTCGGTGTATGTTTATTGAATCTGCGACTAGGTATTGCAATAAAATATATTCAATATTTAAATGAAATAGGTGATACGAAATTTCATGTATTGACAAAATAAATATTGCATCCGATTTATGATCAGTACTATCCAATCGGATCGTTTTTATGACATTAATTGATTTTCGATTTGGTCGGTCGTGATATTTTCAATCAATTCAGATATTCTATAAAGGTATCGAAATGCAATTACTGCGAAAGCCTCATACCCCATTCATCAAATATAATAGATATAAACTGCAGACTAAAACAACGATGCGGGATGTGGCGGCAGCCAGTTTACAAATAAAGGTGGTAATTGGATATTGAATTCGGTACAAGTGAAGTTTTGAATACCGCGACGAGACAATAGTTGAGCTTGTTGCGGTCTGTGGCCCCAGTGTCTGACGTGCGCTAAAAATGCAAGCATTGTGGAGAGCAAGACTTCATGCGACAAGAGCACTAGCTCTCTACGTACGAAAGTATGTAAGAAGCGCAAAACCTAATAAAAACGTTTACGGAAAATGCC